AGCATATGCTTTGTACGGAGCACAAATCTTGATCAAAAATTTCAGCATAACCACTTTGTATAGCAATCTCCCATTCACATCGCCCAATTGCAACGTGAAGCATCGCTTTGACGCACATGTAGAAGCTGGATCGACGAAAGTAGTTGGTCCTGTTCTCGCCTAATATTTCATCTCGAAACTTTTTCCTAATGAATGGGTACTTGGCAGTTGGTGTACTGTTTTCATCGGCCAACAAAGTGACCAGCCACTTGGACACGCAGTCACGATTCTTCTCCTCGATCGGTAAACCTTCATACAGAACGCACAATTGATTGGCGAATTCTTCGGAGCGTAGAATATGCGAGAATTTCATGTTGATCGCTTGCTCTGGATAATTGAACTGAAAGAGAAGAAGAATTGAGTGAGTTTTTAGGTGGAATGAATTCGAATATCCTGAAAATTACCTCGACATCGCTGTCATGCTTATAAATTTCACCTGGGTGCAGATTGGGAAATGTGGACACGATGGCATTTTGCACATCATCGATTTTTTCATTGGACGGTACATGGATCATCAGGGCTGTGTGTTGTAAGCGCACAAACATAGCAAAAGTATCGCCCGGCTGCAATCCATTAATTTCATGCGAGATATTTTCCTTTGTGCACATCATGTGGACTCTATGCAAACGTTGAAAGAGCTCCACCGTTTTCGCCGGTATAAATTCGATCAAATTTTCCACATTTTTCACCATTTTTATCATTAAGTCCATTTCCGTTTGGTATAATCGAGACGATTTTTGCTGCGGTAGAACGCGCGGCAAAATAATATGATGCAACAACTCATCGTCGTCGTGTTCGAAGCTCACGTATTTGTCCATTTTTGCTGTCTGTCAATCTGTGGAAAAAAAACGAATATTTTTATTGAGTAAATTAATTTTTTTTAAATTGTTCTACAACTGAACTACATAGAAATGGAAAAATAGATCTTCTGAAGAAATCTAGGCTCATGTCGGGCTTCAATGTGAAAACTCATAGTTATTGAAGGAAGAGCGCATACAGTATTTTCGGATTGGTTCTAATACAATTTATTTATTGTTTATCTTTTTCGGCTGACGGATCTGCTGATAGTTTTTAAAATTATAAGAATCAGAGATGACTGTGTGGAACGCTCTAGCGCACTCGTGATTTTGGTCGTGATACAAGCACTAGACAGGTTTGATATACGCAAACACACTGTTGTTATGGGGTCGTTGCCTCGGAAGCTCAGTGGACTTCAATCATCTCTCAAAAGAAATAACACAATTCTTTGAATGTACTAAGAGCAAATCAATGAAAAATTGCGCGAGTACGTGTAATCAAATACATTACTAGTGTTGATAAGTGAAGAGGACAAAGTAAAAATATGCAAATTTTGCTTACATTTTTTCAAGTATGGTTTTAAATTTAAGATAAGTTTAAGTTTCAAAAGTCATAATCAATGCGCATGACTGCATTGCATGCGCATTGGAAATAGTAGACTGAAAATATTATATTTTTTCATTAACGAACACAAAAAACATTCACTTACGTATACATTCAAATCTTTTTTCAATAGTATTAAAATATAAAATTCAACACACATTTTTACTTGGTAGTAAGTGGTTGTGGTAGTTGTGTAACAAAACAGAATCAAAGAATATCCGCACAAAATAGAGAGCAAAATGCAAAATACATGCAAAAATTTTAATGGTAGACCGTTTTCAATATGCCCGGCAAATAAGTCGATTTATAATGCATATTCAACTGTGTTGAATGTAAAAGTAAACAATTAGAGTAAACGATAATTTGTTCTGAGAATGCGCGGATCAATTTTTAGTATTTGAATTAATACATCTGAACAAAAATGTTTGCTATAAACAGAGCGTTTGTGTAAAAAAAATGAAAGAATGACGCAATTCAAACAAAACTTTGAGGCACACTAGCCTAGTGTCACTAGGTAACATGTTCTCCGTACAATGTTGCAGTTATATGTGTCGTTTTTTTTAAACATACAGCATTTCTCGCGATTTATATTTAACCATGCGGATCGATAGACGACTCTATGAATTGCATTTTCGAAATGTTAGAACATTTAAAAACTCCTTTAGGAAATATATGCCTTTCATAACTCTGGAAATGAATTCCAAATTTAAATGAAATTTCTTAGACGTAGTTTTATTTTCAGATGTTAATTCAACAGTGACTTACTTCAATTTTAATTCAGAATCAATGGAACTCCGGTCTCTACCAATTCAAAAGTGTTTTTTCCATAACATTCAACTTTAGTTCGCATAAACGTGATGAGCACACAATATCACTGAACTATTTGAATTTTCAAAGTAAAGATTGGACTTTCGACCCAAAAACGATATGCCGGTTGAAATCCAGACGATTTTTATCGTTTTTACACTGAATAACGGAATAACCATATGTTGGTTTTGGTATTGGTGTCTGTGTCGAGTCGCGAATACAATAAAACAGTTCACATTTGCAGTGAAACTTATGGTCTGTAGAGAATAAGGAAAGTACACTACCCTGCAAAAGTTCGGGTACACATATAAAATGCACTGTTTCTGTGTTTTGATTTTGTTTTTATTTAACCCGAAATCAGTTCTCAATTTGGAAGCTTGTAGAAAGTCTGGCCTGAAAAAAAGGTTTTGTAGACAACATTTGGCCGGATACATAGAAACAATGCATTTTATAGGTGCACTCAAACTTTTGCAATGTAGTGTATGTACATTAAATGTGCAAAAATCAATGGTCTTCCAAACTGAATTTCACAACAAAATGTTTTTTTTTTTCAATCATATTCAAATATAAATTTTATATGCAAATACTTTCGCCGCTGATGTCACTCGAAACAAATAAAGTTTTTCTTCGTTTCAAAGAATTATTCAATTTCAAATAGAACAAAAGATGACTATTTTTCTGGTTTTTTTTTTCTTCACATATTTAAACACATGAATTGATGAAATAATCCACTTTTTTAACGAACGCAAATAATTATGACGAAATTAATTCATCAACAATACTTCTTAAACACTTCTTAAACACTTCTTCCTCAAAGTAAAAACACAACTGAATTGATCCGTTGATGAAGCCCGACTACAACAATCACTGCACTAATGCAAACAAAATTTCAGTTCAATGGATGGTGGTGCTGACCAGTTCATACGGCTGTTGCGGAACGGATGGTACGGTTTCCGTTCTATTCTCAGAGCATACGATCTCAATAAAATTATAGGGAAGATTGTACACGATCACAAGTGTATGCGTTTGAAATAGTGCCTACGATGCATAATACATTTTATTATTCGCGTCGATTGTACTGTTAGTTGTGCTTAACTCTTACACATGCACGTACAGAATATAAAACACGCGCGAATTCTTCTTCTATAATTAAATCGAAAAAGAAACTATGTGCAAAAACTTGATAGGGATTTGCCTGATATGACACTTTGTATCAGTTGCTGCTATTTTCAATTTGAAATTTTCAGTTAAAAAACACTTCTCATTTGCATCGGTCGCACATTTCAAGTTAGGCACTTTCCATCCGCATGAAGAACAAAATGGCTTTTTCGGGATATTCTGACCCAACGGTACTTTGCTCTTCGAAGATCGTTTTTATTATTTGTTTCAATTGGAAATGGCTAGTGGTAGTGGCAGCCACGGTGAAAACAGCCAAGATTCACGATGGTATTTCACGGCAGTACAATTACAAAATTCACCAAGCAGAAGCCAAGGCATCGACGCTGAAAAGCAAATAGAACTCAGACAACAAGCCGCTTACTTGATTCAAGAAATGGGTAAACGGCTTCAAGCGTCAATGTTTTTTTCATTTTACATTTTCTCTATCACACAAATTATTTCACCTTTATTTCCAATTGGTCGGAGAGTACTAGCTATTAAGCCATTACATATAGCTAGTAGCTAAAGCGATTTTTTTGTTTGAATTCACACCAAACGTTTTTTTCTGCCAATTTCTGAATTGTAACGTTTGTCAAATCGTGTAAAATGATTTAATTTAAAAAAAAACTGATTTGACCGAAACAAGGTGGAAAGGCAACCAAGAATGCTGGAATCTGTAATACATGTCTCACAAGAATACATGCCAGGAGCAGTTGAAAACCGAACAAGTGAAGCCTACACTGAGCAAGAACAAGACTTAATGAACATGCCACCCAATTGAAGGTAATGAGTTTGATTTAAAAACTCTATCTGCTTGTATCGAATATCTTGCGCTGTGTATCCGCATTCAACCAAACGATAAACCATAATGAGCATATTTTCTGTTTGTTTTGCAGCGTATAAGGATTTAGCCCAAACCGCATATTTACTTCCAACGAGTGCATAGTCGTTTGCTTCTTTTGCTTCTTTTGCTTTTCCATAACAACAATGCTTTGTTGATAACCAAAACGGCTAATCGTATGTTTTCATCCTCGCCCAAATTTTATGTCATAATCTCAAAGACTGATTGTTTCTACAGAACGACTACGGATGATTAGTTTCGAGGTAAATCGGTTTCGCATATTCTAGTGCGGTACGCGGTAAATGTACTGTTTAGTCACGGCCAAACGGCAGATGAAATTTCAGGTGATGAGTTAGACAGCGTTGGTATATACCAGCACATATAAAGTCACACAAATACACTTACAGCAAACTATACAATATTTGTCAATTTACGGATTCTGTAGAACTAACACAGATACATTGTATTGAATCGGTATAATTTGGCTGTCAAACATTTGAGATGCGCTGACACATACAAGTTATACCGATTCAGTTCAATGTATACAATGTATCTGTGTTGGTTGTAAAGAATGCGTAAAGTGTCAAATATTGTATAGTTTGCTGTAAGTGTATTAGTGTGACTTGTATATGTGTGGTACCAGTGCCTTCTGCCCGAAATTTCATTCGTTGTTTGGCCGTGTATTCATGGATAGTGTTTTTTGTGTGAAAGAAAGAAAAGAGTATATAATATAGTATGCATGATTAAAACGTAAATTGCATTGAAAAAAAGAGTGAAACAATCGTGCAAAAAAGGAAAAAAAATACGCAAAAATTAAACGGAAACAGTGGAAAATTTGTCTGACATCAAAACATCGCAGCGAGCAAATGAGAAAAAAAGAAACGCAAACACCTGAGTCTCCATAACACACAACACACAACGGACGAAAGAGAAGATCACTTTGCTCTTCGAGGGCCGTTTTTATTATTTGTTGTTGTTTCAATTGGAAATGGCTAGTGGTAGTGGCAGCAGCGGTGAAAACAGCCAAGATTCACGATGGTATTTCACAGCAGCACAATTACAAAATTCGCCAAGCAGAAGCCAAGGCATCGACGCCGAAAAGGAAATAGAACTCAGACAACAAGCCGCTTGCTTGATTCAAGAAATGGGACAACGGCTTCGAGTGTAAATGTTTTTTTTTTTTCATTTTACATTTTCTCTATCACACAAATTATTTCACCTTTATTTCAAATTAGTTGGAGAGTACTAGCCATTAAGTCATTACACCGTATAAGAAGTTTTTCTATTTTTTGTCTTTGACTTTTGATTGAATTACACATTGCTCATTGCGGATCATGAGAGACGAAAGGATAGGTGCTGTGATTTGCTATGGAAGTATGCACAATTAGGATGTTTTCGGTATTAAATAAACAGAAAATGGTAGTTTTAGTTTGATAGAGCAGAGAATTTGGAATCGATTTCATATATTTTTGTTCGGAATCAGTCCAAGATGCCACTTCCCACAAGCAAAACAAATGTTCGTCGAATTTTGAGGTTATATCACTATTCGCTGAAACTAATCTGATATTTTTCACTTTTTTCGATTCAATCTCACTACCAGAGATGAATTCTCAATGCAAACATTTATTTTCACGTAATTTTCATTGGAAAAAGTGGCCAAATAGTCGAAAATTCACACAAATTGTATTGCCCCTTTGGCCGGTTCTTCAACCATAGAAAAAACACCGACAAACTCATTTTTTTCACAAAAATTCATTCAATGGGTTTGAAATACACGACAAATTATCTAAATCCACTAAAATATCCAATCGAACAAAACCAAGAAGGCCAAATTGCAGCAAAACCAAAACGTAAACAAAAACGAGCTGTCATTATGAAATTCGGGCTGGAAAATATCAGATTAGTTTCAGCGAATAGTGATATAACCTCAAAATTCGACGAACATTTGTTTTGCTTGTGGGAAGTGGCATCTTGGACTGATTCCGAACAAAAATATATGAAATCGATTCCAAATTCTCTGCTCTATCAAACTAAAACTACCATTTTCTGTTTATTTAATACCGAAAACACCCTAATGCACATAGAATACGAAAATAAATCAACGCGTTAGCATGTCATTTTACAATGTTTGCAATGCACACGTACATACGTATGGCGTTTGCATATTTTCAGAACAATTCATCAAACCCTATCTCAATTACAAGCTGCCAAATTGTCTTGCTATGATCTTACTTAAATTACATTATGTAGAGACTTGTAGACACTAGTTTTAACTCATGCAAAATAAATTCATATAGTTTTAGTTTTTTCTTCCATTAAAGTCAATTTTTTTCTCTCTCTGTTTGATTTCCAGCGATCAATCATGTATAAATACGGCTATAGTTTATATGCATCGATTCTATGTATTTCATTCATTTGCAAAATTTCATCAAAATGGTATTGCGATGGCTAGTTTGTTGCTAGCTGCAAAAGTAAGCACGAATTGTTGAATATGAGAATATCTGCACGTTTTTACGTGGAACTTAAAATTGAGTACAAGCGATTTTTTGTTTTGAAGTTGTTTTTTGTGCCAAATTCTGATATGTAAAAAGAAAGAAATTTCCCTTAGTTTTTGGTGCGAGTTCAACAAAAATCGCTTTAACTCAATTTCAAGTACTAAATTCCGCGTGTGTGTATCAAATCGTGCAAATTTTGAAAACAACTGATTTAACCGTAACAAAATAAGGTGAAAGAGCAACCAAGAACGATGGAGTCTGTAACAAATGCCGCACAAGCATGCACGCCAGGAGCAGTTGAAAACCGAACAAGTGAAGCCCACGCTGAGCAAGAACAAGACTTAGTTTTCAATGAAAATGTACTTTTGCACACATTGGGTTTCGATGTACACGTTAAACATCCTCATATGCATATTGTCAAAACATGCTACCTAATTAAAGGTAATGACCGAGTTTGATTTGAAAACTCTATCTGCTTGTATCGCATATCTTGTGCTGTGTGTCTGCATTCAACCAAACGATAAACAATAATGAGCATATTTTCTGTTTGTTTTGCAGCGTGTGAGGATTTAACCCATACCGCATATGCCCTAGCATCGAACAGCTTGCATTTGACGACGATGTGTCTACAGTACAGGCCAACTGTAGTTGCGTGCTTCTGTATAAATCTCGCCTGCAAATGGACTAGGTGGGAGGTAATATATCATTTAATCCATGCACATATTCAACCATTTATCGCAACGTTCAAACTAACTGTTCATTTGTTTTGGTCACAGATTCCACAGTCAACAGAAGGTATGGATTGGTTTTATTATGTCGATAAAAACGTCACGATGGAACTGCTAGAACAGTTACAGGATGAATTTATGGCCATTTATGAACGAAGCCCGGCAAGACTAAAGAACAAATTGTGTTCAACGATAAGAAATGCAATGAGTAGTGGAAGATCTGTGAGTATATATTCATCAATGTACATCAACTGTTCTGAACTAAACCGTTTTCTTTTCTTTTCTATCTTCGCTACTCAAGACAATCAATTCGCAAAGTGGAACACATAATTCAGGACCACGGCATCGATCATCTAGTCATCATTCGAGTGAGAAACAATTAATAAAAATCGACAATCGATCACAATCACTTTCCATATCAACATTCACAATTGGATTAAAAACGTACACTATCAAAATTTTCAAAATTTTTGTGCTAGTATTTCTCGTGATATACGGAATTCACGGCATTTTTTCATCATTTTCTGATGAAAGCGAAGACAAAAATGAAGTTGTGGTCTGAAAAAGAACCAACCACAACAAATCGAAATTCATTTCATGTTTAGTTAATAGTACATTTGAAAAAACGACAACATTTTCTGGTTTTCGAGCTCAGTTGGCTACGCCAATGATTATTATCGTTGCAAAGTGGCGAACCTGTTTGGAACTTTTAGTATTTTTCAAATGAATTTCTAGTATAAATAGACCGAAATGAGGACGTCATAAGGTGTTTATAGTATCGGTTTGAAATTACCTTCATAATGTCATTGGAAAAAACAGTAATTTTTGATATAAAATAAAGAAACGTTAAAATACAAATCCAAGGAAAGTTGCTTCATAATAACACATGAAATCATGAATAAAATCTTTTAAATCTAAACACAAAATTGCTTCTAATTCAAAATGAAATCAGTTGTTTGGCCCATGATGGGACATGAACATAACTTCTTGTGATACGTGATTGTTGCTGTGTAAGCGAATGGACGATCGCGATGGAATTATAATGGTTCTGGATGCAATGCATGAATGCCGTTGATTGACCCATATGTAAGTATCAGAGTTGATGTGGCCGCGGCTACAACTGAGCTCTTTTCATCGATTTTAATTTGATTTCTTCTATTAAATAGAACATCGGCTGGATTGACTGAGATAATGCGACGTCAAAAGTCGATCTTTTGCAAGTATAACAACTTGAAAAGATTGCGTATGCAGACATAAGGAAACGTATCAAAATAAATTTACTTAAAAAACGAAATATTCATATTACATTTCATAAATTGGCCCAAGCCCACTTTCCTGTCATGTTCCATTTTTTTTCTTCAGAACACATCTACATTTTATATTGCTATAATATAACAATTTACATTGCATGATGTATATATAGCAATAGCTATGGCCATATTGTGTAACACAGTCACAACGGCCCATGCTTGAAATGGAACTCGCATCGACATAGAAAAGATAATATAAATTCAAGCGGCTGACGCTTGAACAGACTACGTGAACTAAAGAGCTATTGATCTTGTTTTGTTTTGCTTTGTTACTGCAAGGAAATTTATATTCATAGTATTTTGGCTTGTATCCATAGTGTTTTTGAAAGGAAAGGATTTTATCGATGCATTTCATGCAATGCAAATAGCAAAATTTGTTGTGAAACAACTTTTATTTCCTTTACTTTGTTGATAACAAAAACGGTTAGTCATATGGTTTCATGCTCGGTCAGAAACGATGATAACGTGCGCATATATTTCTCTTTGAGTGGCTATTTCCCCCCTATATTCTATGTTATCATCTCAAAGACTGATTCTTTCTACAGAATATTCGTCATTCTCGTTCAAGAAATTATGAAACAACATGAACAATGTGAAATGAGAGAAATTGTAATCTATATTTCTTTTCGTTTTTGCTTCAGCTTTAGCTGACTTCATCCAATGTGTAAAAACTTGAAAAGGATTGGCCTGATGTGGCACTTTACATCAGTTGCTGCTATTTTTAATTTTAATTCGAAAATTTCAGTTGAAAAACACTTCTTCTTGGCATCGGTCGCACATTTATAGTGCTCTCAGTGCACGGCACTTTCTTGTGCAATTGTGACTTTGAGAAAAAAGCGACTAAAATTTTGTGAGTTCAAAATCTTTGCTAAAGAAAAATGCAGCATTTTTCAATTTGAAAATAATATTCATTTTATTGGAATCATAAATAGTTGTTGAAAACTTCAATTAATAAGAGAACTGAATATTTATTTTTTGCTTTATTCAGAATCAAAATGATTGCCGAGAGTAAAGGAGGAGTCTTTTCAATTCAACGTACGAAGGAAGGCCAAAACATTGGCCAATGTACCCGCCACAGTTTGAACAGGGGAGAGTTTCAATTCACATTGAAGTTCCAGTCTCAAACTGTCGACCATCACATCATCTCAAGTGATATGTCGTAGTGAACGAGTTTTTCTTAATTTCTTCGTCACCAGTGGCGTATCCAGGGGGGGGGGTTTGGGGTTCAAATGATTAATACAAAATCGGATTTCGTCTGAATAAGATATGACTCGATTATAACGTGGGTGAGTGTTAATCAATTCATTAATTTACCATTTCTTTTGTTGTGAAGCATGTCCGAATGATTTGAATAAACCAGCAAATGCAGCCAAAATCAATGTGTTTTTCGATGGTCATCAATATTACATTACTTTCTTTGAATTCAAACTTATCTGTGTTTTAATAGCATTTGGCATAACAACACTTCTACAAATATGTCATACGTTGCTATGAGTAGACTGATTTAAGCAGTAGAGGCAAATTGATTTCAATAAGCCTTTGTTTATTATATTTCATGATTTGTTTACCGTCGCCGAAAAAATGGCTAGCAAAATCGGTGTAAACATCACAATACCGAGAGTAGCCAGCAATGCAATCGAGATAACTATGCGTGCACTTCTGCCGAAGAGTATTATAGATTGCCCATTTTTATACCTCTCCTTGATCATGTCATATGCAACAACGGTTCGTAAAACATAGAGATATTTTGAATAAAATACAGAATATTTTGCCCAATTTTATTACTTGTTTGACAGAAAAAGAAATAAATGAAACCGTTGAAATGATATTGAAGCAATGGCCAAACATTGAATATGACAACGAAAATATTGTGAAGAAAGAAGCTCTGTTGTGGCAACAGAAATGGGTTTCAACAGAAGAAAGACCAAAAAATTTCATTTCGTCACTAAACGTGTGCAATAATCCAATATTTCCAAACATATATAATATGTTTAAAACTTTGGCCACGATACCTACACACTCAAAAATATCTGTAAGAATTTGCACGATAATAACAATCAAAATGGGATTTATATGACGTATCGCGTTAAAAATTAAAATATCGTGTAATTTTTAATGTTTCAAAGTTGACACAAACATTTGACAGATGCGTATATCGGGTAATAATATTGACCAATTCATTGATTTATTTGAAATTACATGATATTTTATCGTTTTTACACGATTTGTCATATAAATCCATGTTTGTTTGGTATCATCGTGTAGATTCTTAGTGTGTATTACCATTGCCACACCAGAGCGATCTTTCTCTACGCTTAAGCGTATTAAAAAATTTTTTTGATTCCGATACTTCATTTTTCTACTGTATATGCGTTTTTTTTCTGAAAATTTCCTTTAAAAAACTATAATTGAAAAACACCCCCCCCCCAAATTCAACTCTGGATACGCCACTGCTAATAATACTGCTATACATTTGCGTTTTACAACATTACTCTACGTCGGCATTTCACAAAGACACAATCAGATGCAGAATTCTCTACGCAGAAGAATGCTCCATGCAAATCCATTCGTCGTTTGTGAGCATCGGTTCGAGTTGATACACAATACATTGACAGTGAGAATGTTATTGAGGTTTGTGCAAACACACAATTTACACCAATTGATTTTTGATCAACGAAAGGACACAAACCTTTACACCGTCAGCCATTTTCAATTCATGTTTTTTTTATTTGAGTAAAACAAAATTGACTCGTCTTAGATTTTTTTTTCATTCAATTAATACTCCAAAAAACTGGTACATTTCATTATATTCTGAACAAATTTGGCAAAACACGGTATGTCAATTGAATTATAAAAAATAATTCCAAGAAAAACACCTTATTATGATGACGCAATACGTAATTTCATAATACGGCCAATTTATTACAGAACCCATCAAAAATGGACAACTTATGGAAGAAGGAAACAGGGCGAGCTGAATATGTCGATCTTTTTGCGTCTGTACAGAGATCATCATCGGATGACATGTTCCTTGAATTAGTCAAAAGGCAACAAACTCGGAAAAACAATCAAAAATCGACCGAATGGCGATTGAAGGGAAACGAACTATTCCGCCAAGAAAATTGGCCTGAGGCAGCAATATGCTACAACAAAAGTTTGTGTTATGCCGAAGTTGGTTCTGAAAATGTGGCGTTAGCATATTCGAACCGATCAGTCTGTCTCTTCCATGGTCAATTATTGAATGAAGTCTGAATGAAGTTGCGTTAGCATATTCGAACCGATCGGCATGTTACTTTCATTTGAAGTTTTACAATCAAGTTTTGGTCGATATTGAGCTCGGCAAAAACACAAATCTACCGGATCGCCTGCTACCGAAGCTGGAGCAACGTAAAAACGATACTTTGAACTTGATGTCAATGGTTGAGCGTAAAGATAGTTTCAGACCAAAACTAAGCTACGAAGCTGACAAGAATTTCCCGTGCATGGCAAATGTCGTGGAGATAAAATACAACGAGGAATTTGGTCGTCATTTGGTTGCAAAGTGTGACATTCCGGTCGGACGAACGGTTTTGATGGAAACAGATTTCCTTCGAATCGAAAACGACATGCTCACGTGCAATACTTGCTCGCAATTATGTACTAATGGTGTTGCTTGTCCCAATTGTCCCGATGTTATGTTCTGCAGCGTCAATTGCATGAATAACGATCAAATTCACAAATTGGAGTGCGGTACATTTTTCTTCTACTTCCACTTAGATTTGCGATCAAAACACTTTTGTTCGCCATCACCAGTTTTCCGGACATGGACAGTCTGATGCAGTTTGTTGAAGGTGCACTACTCGAAAGGCCAGAAACATTGCCGACGTCATTGAACGATTCCAAGTCAAAGTATCATTTCTTCTTCAAACTTTCAACATCAGCACCATTTCCCCATCCACTGACGGAAGCTATCATAGTTGACATGGCTGTCCACCTTTATGAACACTCGATGGGCTTGCCGAAAGTAAGCGATAGTTTCGATAGTGATCAAAAGAAACGATTCCTCATGCATTTGGCCATGCATCATATGCTAGTTTACAACAGTAACGCATTTGGATGTGGAGATTCTCAGCATGTGGCCAACGTCACTTCTCTTATGAACCATTCATGTGCTCCCAATATTATCAGTTACTCTTTAAAGGCAATGAAATCGGTGTGACAGGACGACCAATCAAAAAGGGTGAACAGCTTTTCATCAATTACTCGAAGGATTTCGATGGAATGTCGTCAAATGAACGAAAAGCAGAATTGAAATCTCGCCGGGGCTTTGATTGCAAATGCGAAAGATGCGAGCCAACGCGTGCACCAATCGATCGAAAACTGATTACGGCGGATCCATGTTACAAATACGTGGCCAAAAATCAACACATTGATATTTTACACAATCAAACTGAATCTGCCATCATCAAGAAGAAGTGCGTTGAATTTTTTAACAAATATGGACGCTCAGCATGGTCATCGGAAATTGAATTGATTTTCAATGTGTACACAAATCATTTAACAAATACGTTGTAAGTTGTTCACTTCTCTTTTGTGTTTCTGTCGCAAGAATATTTCTATATGCATCAAAATATGAAAATAACAAAAATTCAATGCACAAATGAAAATCAATCAAATTAACCACATTCCCGAAAAACCATCTTTAAGAAGATCAATCAATACAAATCCAAATGTTAACATATCCATTTTATTTTAAATAAAGAACAGAAAAAAGCTCATACCACTTTTGTACTTGAACGTTTTTTAATTTGAACAAAATTCATCTCTTGACATTTTTCCCTCTCGAGAAATGGTCTTTTGAAGAATAATCAGTTCTCGTTCAACTGTTAAATGAAACATAAGAATGACAGAGATGGCATGAGCCGTGCGAGCATTGTTCACAACATTACTGTACGTCGGTGTTTTACAAAGACAGATGCAGAATTCGCTACGCAGAAGAATACTCCATGCAAATTGTTTCGTCGCTCGTGCGTATTGGTTCGAATTGATATACACTACATTGACAGTGCGAATAATAATGACGTTTGTGCAAACACACAATTTACTCCATTTGATTTTTTGGTGAATCAAAGGGCACAAGCGATCACGCTGTCAGCCATTTTCAATTCATATTTTTCATTTGCGTAAAAAAGTTTATTCTTCATAGATTTTTTCTTCATTCAAGTAATAATCCAGATAACTGCTACATACCATTATATTCTGAAAGAATTTGGCGAAACACGGTATGTCAATTCAATGATGAAAAATAATCCAAAGAAAAAATCCTTATATTGAACCTTAATCTGATGACGTAATACATAATTTCGCAATATGTTTAAATTATTGCAGAACACATCAACAATGGACAACTTATGGAAGAAGGAAACAGGGCGAGCTGAATACGTCGATCTTTTTGCGTCTGTACAGAGATCATCATTGGATGACATGTTGCTTGAATCAGTCAAAAGGCAACAAACTCGGAAAAACAATCAAAAATCGACCGAATGGCGTTTGAAGGGAAACGAACTATTCCGCCAAGAAAATTGGCCTGAGGCAACAATATGCTACAACAAAAGTTTGTGTTATGCCGAAGTTGGTTCTGAAAATGTGGCGTTAGCATATTCGAACCGATCAGCCTGTCTCTTCCACGGTCAAATATTGAATGAAGTCTTGGTCGATATTGAACTAGCTAGAAACGCAAATCTGCCTGATCGCCTGACAAAAAAGCTGGAGGATCGTAAAAATGAATGTTTGAAGCAGATGTCGATGGTTAAGTGTGAGGGAAAATCCAAACTGAAGCTAAGTTACAAGGCTGACAAGAATTTCCCGTGCATGACGAACATCGTGGAAATAAAATACAACGAGGAATTCGGCCGTCATTTGGTTGCAAAATGCGACATTCCAGTTGGGAAAACTGTTTTGTTGGAAACGAATTTCCTTCAAATCAGCGATGAACCGTCGGTGTGCCATTCATGTTTACGATTGGGCATGAATTGTATGGCCTGTCCAAACTGTCCCGATGTTATGTTCTGCAGCGTTGATTGCATGAATAACGATCAAATTCACAAATTTGTGTGCGGCAGATTTTTCGCAACCCTACCACTACCAGTTAGATTTGTGATCAAATCAATTTTGTGCGCCATCACCAGTTTCTCCGACGTGGATAGTCTGATGCAGTTTGTTGAAGGTGCACTGCTCGAAAAGCCAGAAGCACTGCCGACGTCATTGAACGATTCCAAGTCAAAGTATCATTTCTTCTTCAAACTTTCAACAATAATACCATATGATGATGAACTACTCAAGGCAACTGACATGCTTTATAGATGTATGATTACTTTGCCGAAAGTAAGCAATCTGTTCGATTGTGATCGAAAGAAGCGTTTTTTTATGCATTTGCTCATGCATCATGTTCTGGTCTGCAACACTAACAAATTTGGATGTGATGATACTAAGTATGTGGCCAACGTCACTTCTCTCATGAATCATTCATGTGCTGCCAACGTTATCAGTTACCCTTTAAGAGGTTATGTAATCGGTGTGACAGGACGACCAATCAGAAAGGGTGAACAGCTTTTCATCAATTACTCGAAGGAACTCGATGGAATGCCGTCAAATGAACGAAAAGCAGAGTTGAAATCTCGGCGAGGCTTCGATTGCAAATGTGAAAGATGCGAGCCAACGCGTGCACCAATCGATCGAAAGCTGATTACATCGGATCCATGTTATAAATACGTGGCCAAAAATCAACACATTGACATGGTGCGCAATCAAACTGAATCTGCCATCATTAAGAAGAAGTGCATTGAATTTTTGAACAAATATGGACGATCAGCATGGTCATCGGAAATTGAATTGATTTTCAATGTATACGCAATTCATTTGGCAAATGCTTTGTAAGCTTTTCAACAAATTTTGATCTTGTATGTCGCAAGAATATTTCCATAAGCATCGAAATGAGAAAATAGAAAAATCAATGCATAAATAAATATCAATCGAATCAAATACATTTCCGACAATGAATCTTTTAAAAGAATCTCTTTTGCACTTTATAAAATAAACGTATTTTCAATAAAATATTACCAGAAAATTAAAAAAAATTTCAACTTTATTTCTTCGCATTTTTTTCCCTCTTGAGAGATAGCTTTTTGTGAATATTGAAAAATAATCCTCGTTTAATCGTTAAAAGATGCAGTAGAGAGATGACATGAGCCGTTAAAGCATAGTTGATGTTCTACAAATACAAAAACACACGCAAAATTCGCAACTAAGGGTTATAGTTGAAATGCAGATTGATAGATTTTTGAGTCAATAGTTTGAAGTTTTGGTTTTGAAATAAATGAAGAAAATGACAAAACTTATGAACCATACATGTAATGCAAGTTATTTCGTAAAAACAAGCTATGTTTTTTTTTCAACTTAAACCAATTGAACGAAATTTCGGGCTGTGTCCCAAAAATCATATTGTGTTTATTAATTATTTTATTGGAAATACATATTATCTATGCACTATGCGTTTCCTCTTCCTCTGAAGAAAAGAAATAAAACAAAACAAACATGGAGTTAATCGAATTCGTTCTCTGAGTGTTTTTTTGTTTTGCGAATAAAAATATTAGAATATGGAATTACATTTTTTAACTCTTTTTTTTTCATTCATTTCATTTTTGAATTAATTTTTAAGAGATTGCTAAAGAATAAGCAATCAAAAAACTACCATCGCCCTGAATCGTAATAATGGTTTGGTTTTGAAAAAAAGAAGAAGTAAGTTTGGTTGCATTTATTTTCAAATGCATTCGAGAATAGAACAGTTACAGTTAACCTGTTGTTGTTGTTGTTGTCTTATAAAAAATTGGTTTTTTTTTTCTCGAAATAATATGTTTAATTTTTGTTCTCCTCTTTCTATTGGGATTTAATCTTTAATATGTAATCTAGGCCCAACATTTTTTCCTCTCCCTCTTTGTTTTCTCTTCTTTGTTTTTAGCTCTTCATGAAATGTAGGCTGCAATTATGTTTTAATGCGATTCTTTTGATTTTTCTTATTTTCCTTTACATTCTCTCATCCTGAAATTTGAATACTGTTTTTGTAAGTTTTGTTTGATAGCCGCCTTTGACTTGATAAATTGGTGATGATATATATCTCTGTGTGTGTGTGTGTGTGTGTGTGTGTGTGTGTGTGTGTGTGTGTGT